GCAGGAATCCGGCACCGTTAGGGGAGAGGAGCACAACAGCTCTGGGCAGGTCACCAAGCCGCAGTAAATTTGGCCTTCCTAGGAGGACAGGAGAGGGGAAAAAAAAAGGATTGTCAGCATTAACAAGGTCCAGACGGGGCTGTATGATCCCCACGTTGGGGCGCCAGCACTTCAAATTGCAGATATAAATCATATAGTCCATCCTCAAATATCACCGACCATCTAGCAACTGATGAAAGCTGAAAATCTCCATCCTGTGGGGTACAGCACGGTGGCTGGTGTCCTCTCCTAGCACCAATTGCCAGTCTACATGCTTGTGAGTGGAGCCGTCTTCCCCAAAAATGCTGGAGGCAGTGCCTTGTTCTCAGGCATCGTTAGTGCTACCAGATCTTAACCAGCCACCTGTAAACTCTTTGTAGCACCCACCAGTTTGAAATGGCACAAGAAGCTTTTCTCTGACATCTCCCAGGACAAGGACCTGGAGGACACAGGTGGAAAGGGGAAGCATGAGGCTGAACCCAGACCCAGGTCCACGCTGAGTTCTGCCCTCCCTCTGTGTTGGGTTATTCGGTAACAGCAGAGCCAAGCACACCAAGACACGGGGTTGAAGGCTGTGGATGGATGCCCAGATGAAGACCTTCTTCCACTGGCTTGGTGGTTAATTGGGAAAACATCATTGCTGCAGTGATTCAAGCTGAAATCCACGGGCCAAGGCCAGTCTTGACCTCAGCAGATCCCAGTATCACTTCAGTCAATGGATTTCCATCTGTTTGCTGCAGGGCTAAGTTTTTGCTGCTTGGCAGAAGGGTAAAACAGGATGTTCAGCAGCCCAGCAGCAGCCAGACCTCAACTGCAAGGTCCTCTTCTCCATGCAGCAATTTTCTTTGGGGTATCCCCAAGCTCTCAGTCAATCAAAACCAAGCGGTTAACCATGGATTTCCTTCAAAAACCAAACCACAGCAGCTTCTTCTGCCATCAGGAAGCCAAGACGCTGCACAGGAGATGTGAAGAGGTTGAAGAAAGTCTGTTAAATGAGAGGATCTGGTGGAGGTTGCTGCAAACCAAACCCTGCCCTCCACTTGAGGACTTCCATGGGGTCCAGACCTGCAGGGAGTGGGATTTGGCCACGCAGCCTCTTCCTTCTTTCTCCTTCTGACCAGCAGCTCCCAGCAAAGATCTGCCTCAGGCGGCAAGGAGCAAACGTCATTAAAAGCAGGATTTATCCCACAGTCTCTGGTCTCGGGGTGGTTTTCAAAGAGGTTTACACCAGCTGTTCACGCAGCTGTTCTAGCAGCTGACAACATCAGACACAGCCCGACGAGGCCCCGCCGCTGCAAGGCTCCACAGCCACCCTTTTATTTCCCCTTTCCTATCCAGACCATTAACCCGCCCAGTAAACAGAGCCTGAGCGAGATCCAGTGTCGCCGAGAGGAACACGAGGGTCCGCAGGCTCCCAGGGATGGTGGCGGATGGGGTGGGAAAGCAGGGCCAGGTGGGCACCTACAGCTGGGTTCGAGGGCTCCTTCCTGGTGTTTGAACCCCAGCCTGGTGGTCTGACATCCCCATTGGGGTCCATCAGAGAGGAACCAGCCTCAAAACTGTATAATTTCTACATCTAAGCTATTCCTAGCTCCGAGACGTGCACAAGCACCAAAGGCTCAGACCAGCTATCCTGGTATCACAGACACTTTGCTATCGGGCAGTTTGGGTTCTCTCACCCCTTTCTCTTTCCTGGCCAAACATAGTCAAATTATTTGCTGCAAGCAAAGCACAGAGTAGTGGAGCCTGGTCCCAACCACGGGCTCTGTACTGGGCAGTGAAAGCCATGTATGCAATCCCCTCCTTTTGTATGGCAGAGGCCGTAGCCACTGCGAGCACTTCCCCACAGCATCCAAGGCCAGCGTCAGCACTTTCTATCCCCCTTCCTCGCTCCCTCTCGAGGAGGAGGAGCTGCTGCATTTATCTCCCAACACTCAGCTCCTGGCACGCGTGGTCCCGCGCTTCGCACACCTTCCCCATTGCTGCTGGCCAGGATGCCTCGCACTTCCCAAGCAAAGTGTCAGGACTGAGTTTTCAACAGGTTTTTGCAGGATCCCAGCCTGCTGGAGAGGGCTGGGTAGAGTAGAGCCAAGCCCTGACTCAGGGCATTGCTGCAGGAGGAGGAACATCCTGGCAGACGGGTGGTGGATGGGCAAAAGCTTTTCACTGACAGCCTGGAAAACACATGCGTATCTCCAAGGCACAGCCCTGCGCAGGATGTCCTGGAGGGCTGGTGAGCACACTGGAGGAGTTTACAGATGAGAGCAGCTTCTGGTGCAGCCCAGCCATCCGGGTGCTCAAGTACGCCTCAACTTTGGGTTCAGCTTCCACTTAAATCCGAGCAAAGGGAATGAAGATCACCAGGCGCCTGCCCATCGCCATCCCTGATGGCCAAGATCTGCTGCAAATGCCACCATCTCTCTGCCGCTGTCTCCTGGCTCACAGGGGTGAGCTTCAGCCACGATGGAGGCACCACAAGACCCAGCAGTGGTTGGGAGCCACCAAATCCTTTCTGGAGTTCAGCTCAATCCCTCCAGCTCAACGCTGGGCTCAAAATCCTAAGAGCTTCTGAAACCCAAGAGCTGGCACCTCACATCCATGTTGCCTTGCAGGCACACCAAAGCTTCTCCGGTTTCACACACAGAATCACACAGAATATGAGGGGTTGGAAGGGACCTGGAAAGCTCCCCCAGTGCAACCCCTGCCACAGCAGGATCACCAGAGCAGTCACACAGGAACACGGCCAGGGCTTTAAGTGTCTCCAGACAAGGAGACTCCACAACCTCTCTGGGCAGCCTGGGCCATGCTCTGCCACCCTCACACTCACAAACTTTGGCCTCATCTTCAGCTTGAACCTCCTGTGCTCCAGCTTGGGACCATTGCCCCTTGTCCTGGCATTGGACAGCACAGAGCAGAGCCTGGCTCCTTCCTTCTGACACTGGCCCTTTCCAAATTGATCCCCATGAATGAGGGCACCCCTCAGTCTCCTCTGCTCCAAGCTCAAGAGCCCCAGCTCCCTCAGACGCTCCTCAGCAGGAGATGCTCCACTCCCTCCAGCATCTTTGTGGCCCTGCTGGACTCTTTCAAGCAGTTCCCTGTCCTGGTTGTCCTCTCTACTGGCCATCTGCCATGTGATGCCTCAGTGGGGCAGGTGGGATAGATGGATGCTGCAGGGACACTGGTCCTCGCAGCAGGCAAATGCACCCATTGGTGTGCTCAGTAGGGACATGGCTGTCCCCCTGCCCACCCTAAGGAATCCCAATGAGGTCCACCCAGAACTGGCTCATGGGATTTCAAGTGAATAAACCCACCTTTATAGCATCTTGTTCATGGACATTGGTAGCACACTCTGCTTGAGGTCAAGGCCACGTAACACACCCAGGCAGAGTTGAAAGCACCCAGCTCTGTGGTGGTCCTCAGTCACTGGGCAGGAAGGACCCAGCACTATTTCAGAAGAAGCTCCATCTCCTGCACTGATAACCTGACCCTGATGATCAACCATCCCACCATGGGCTGGTACCATCCAATGGTCCTCACAAGGTTTTTGACCTGGTGGGACATTGTTGGGGTGCAGGAGCAGACCCTCAGCCCTCCCCAGCTCCCATGGTAGCTTACGGAGCAGCTGCACTGCACACACTGGTTGGGCTGGCGGCTGGGAAAGAGCTCGCTGGTGGTGAACATCTCGCCTTGCTGGTAGGTCGTCCCATTGTACTGGCAGGACTTGATGGGCGCCCGGAGTCCAGAAGGGGAATTTGGCTCTGGAAAAGGTCATGAGAAAGCAGCAGGATGAGAACCAGCCCTTGCCTGGCCCCGATGTCACAAGGATGCTCAGCAGATTCCACACCAACCTGACCCAAAAGGACAAGAAACCCTTTACACACCATGGTTGTCATGAAGAAGTGGTCAGGGCATTGCAGAGCTTGTGGTGATAAACCTGTCCAAAAGCTTTTGGAGAGTGGGGCTGCCCTGAGCATGCTGAGTTCAGCACAGAGGAAAAACCTGGAAGTTTGAACTCCCCCACTGTGCCAGGGTGGTGACGAAGTCAAAAACCACTGTAAATTTGTGAAATTTGAAAAGAAAAAAAAATAGAAAAAAACCCTCTACTTTTAATTTTTAGCTAATTATTCATGGCAGAAGTCCTTTTTATCTACCTCCATCTGATACTGAAGGTCATTACATCCAGAGGAAGAAAAAAATCAATAATTTTGTTTAAAATATTCCCTTTTTCCTCCCTGTATCCAACACATTTTGCTGGCAGATGAGCTGAATAAAGTGCCAGCTTCTGCTTTGTCTCTGAACGGTGAACTGGCATTTTGTGGGGGGTGAGCTAGAGAAAGTGGTCTGGTAGAAAGCTCTTTTCCATCAGAATGACATTTTTGGGGGGGAAAAAGCAATGCAGGCAGCCCGAGCTGTCACTGCTGCCATGACCCAATGAGCAGAGCATTCAAGTGACTGCAGTTGAGGCACGTCCTGCAGGACCATGGCCATCCTGTCACTGCTCCCTGTGAGATGTCCACCTACCAAGGCAGCGTGGGCAGCATTGCTGGGGGTCCGTGACGGGGCTGGCACACTGCAGAGCTGGGCACTGGATCCGGTAGCACCTGATGTTAGTGTTCTGGGGAGAGACCAAGACAGTTTGGTGAGGTATGTGATCACCCCTGCACGAGGAGGAAGATCATAGAATCATAGAATTAAGAATGTGTTGGGTTGGAAGGGACCTTTAAAGCTCATCCACTCCAACCCCTGCACTCAGCAGGGACATTGGTACCAGATCAGATTGCTCACAGCCCCATCAAGCCTGGCCTTGAATAACTCCAGGGATGGGGCCTGCACCACCTCTCTGGGCAACCTGTGCCACTGATCTACCACCTCATGGGGAATAGCTTTTTCCTCATATCCAGCCTAAATCTGCCCTTTTCCAGTTTAAAACCATTACCCCTCGTCCTATCACTCCATGCCCCAGTGAACAGCTCTTCCCCAGATTTCTTATAGGCACCTTTCAGGTCCTAGAAGGTTGCTATAAGGTCCCCCCACAGCCTTCTCTTCTCCAGGCTGAACAACCCCAACTCTCTCAGCTGTCCCCATAGCAGAGCTGCTCCAGCCCTTGGATCATCTTTGTGGTCTCCTCTGGCCCCGCTCCAGCACTTCCATGTCCTTTTTGTGTTGGGTACCCCAAAGCTGGACGCAGCCCTGCAGGTGGGGTCTGAGCAGAGCAGAGCAGAGGGGCAGAATCCCCTCCCTGGCCCCATGGCCACACTTCTTGTGATGCAGTCCAGGCTGGGGTTGGTTTCTGGGCTGCAGATGCACATTGGTGGCTCATGTCCAGCTTCTCATCCCCCAGTACCACCAATGTTGGATGATAGCCCCATTATCACGATAGATTGTGCTGGTGTAGCTCACCCAGCCAAGGATGTCTCCATCCCTGGCTCAGACCCCATTGTCAACTAGCTCATGGTCTCATCTGGTGGACTTGGCAGTGCTGGGTTAACAGTTGGACTCAATGGTCTTAAAGGTCTTTTCCAACCAAAACCATTCTATGATTCTATGAAATTAGACCCCAGAACCAATCTGCTTCAAAGATGACAAAGCGGTGCCCCGACTCTGCGGCATCCCCACCACCTCCCATGGCACCTCTCAGGAGATGTGAGACGTGCCTCAGAGCAGCTGCAGCGGATGCAATACATCAGTCCCTGCGGCTCCAGGTAGGGGTGCCAGCTCTCGCCTGGGCTGTACTTCTTGCCGTTGAAGTCGCAGAACACATCCGGCCCTGAAAGTCAACCGGGAGAAGCTACATGAGAGAAAGGGATGGTCCTTGGGAGAGCTTTCCTCTCTTCATAATGAGAAGAGCAAGGACAGCTCTATGCCTTCATGCTGTCCCCTTTAAGTACCTGATGGCCACATCGCGCCCACCAAACCCCAAATGGAATACAGTCCCCAAAAGCCTTTTTTTTTTTTGGCCATGATTTGGTTTTTTAGGGTGAGACCCTAAAATGGTGACTCCTCCGGGCAAGCTGGACTCCCTTTGCAGGCAAGGAACTGAGTGGGTGTTCTTGAGGCAAAAATTAGAGTTGTCACTCTAAACCAGGTCAGTAGAAGTGCTCTTTGGAAGAGGGTCAGGTGGTTATTTCAGGGTGATGCTATGGGACTCAGCTTTCCCCAGAAGGGCTGTGAGTGGTGGGGGGGATAGGAGAGCCTGATTTTAGGAGACATTTTCACTGTTACCCAAAGAAAAGAAGAAGAAAACATACAGGACCATGCCCTGTACAGGACCAGGCTTGCCCCATCCCACCAGGCTCAGCCCCTTGGCTTTTCCAGGTTCAACGTGGCACTGGTCTGGCTGCAGTGGGTTGTGTTCTTCATTTATCAGGCTGTCCATGGGGACAGCAGGTCCACCTTTGCCTACTTTTTGCCCCCCAAAAAATCACAAAACCAAGTATTTTTCTATTCCTCCCTGACCCTATCATCCCGAGAAGAGCCAATTTCCAGCTATGTCCCTGAATTGGACATATCTGTCCCAAAAAAAAAGATCCAGCCTTGCCTACCCTGGCTTGGGTTTAACCTTGCTGCAGCACAGGATGAGATGGTGCCCACCACAACTGGTGAAGGAGGTCCCCTTCGGAGATCTGCCCTCTCTCCGGATTTTAGCAGGTCCTTATCAACCTCCTCCATCTCCAGGCTCTCGGTTACACACCAACCCTTTGGCAGGACAAAGCCAGCCTTCAGCAGGACAAACCGTGGCCATAATCACCCCCAAAAACCACAGGGCTTTGGCCAGAAAAACTAATTCAGTCATCTTTCATCTTCACATCAAAAAGCATCGCCTGGTCCTGCAGAACCAAGCTCCGAACCCAGTCAGACCTGCAGGAATCTGGACCCCCACAACAAACCATCACCTGCTCTTGCTCTCCCATGGCTTGTCCCCAAGCTCTGACCAGCTTTTCTGTGAAGAAGTACACGCCTGCCTGTGCACGTTATGAGTGGTTTCAGTGCTTACACCCCCACTAAAAACCAAAGGTGATGTAAAAGGTTATGTCATCGAGGGGATTTGATGTAGTTAGGGTGATTACATTGCTCGAAGGCAGCGGAGACATTTACACTCCCCGAAGAATTTATGGGTCTTTTAAAACCTTGCAGCACCCTGGGGACGTGGGGAGAGGGCTGTTTTCTGAGGCATGGTGCCCAGCTCCCACTGTGTGGGGTCAGGTAAGCAAATGGGTCCTGACCCCACTACGTTGCTGGAAGGACTCCTCACTGAATAGCAGAAGGTCCCTAAAAATGACCTTGGTGGGCTAAAAGCCATCCCATGCTCTTCTCTGTCACCTGGGGTAAAGCAGTGGTTTAGAGAGCCCAGCTGACTCGCCAAAGCTGGAGATGAACCCTGCTTAATGTGTCTCTCCCACCAACCAGGCAAAACTCATATGAATACACCGTGGTGGGCTGCCATCCCTCCTCCAGCTTCTGGTGACCCTCAGGATGAACCTAAGCGATGCTCTCCCATGGCCAGACCCTGCGGCCATCAGGAAGGGCAGCCTTACAGGTCTCTTATGGTCCTTATGGGTCTTTTCCAACTCCGGCCCTACAGCAGCCCTGAGTTCTTCGTTGAGTTGATGGCTTCAAGCAGGTGATTCTCCAAGTTGTACCTTCAAAGGAGGTGGCCACCACCTCTCCAGATCACCTAGTCCAAGCACAGTGGTGTGAGGCCAGCGTTGCATCTTCAGAGGTAGCGACTTGCGATGATTTTGGGGTGGACACCAACAGAGGGACCAAGCAGGAGTCTTTTCCCTACTCATGTCTTTATGGCATCCGCATGGCTTGCTTCAAACCTCTCACAACTCAGCAACCCCATATTCCTGACCATGCATGACACAGGCTTACAGCAAACCACACAAGAACAGGGAGTGCGTGGCTGGAAACTGTAGAAATCCAGGAGAAAGGAAAAAGAGAAAAATAATAAATCATCATTTCGCAAAAGGGTGAGAAAATGGCTTCATTTTTGCCCTGCTTGCAGCATCTTCATGAATTACACTGAGGGTGAAGAAATCAAGTTGCCTTCGTGTGACACGGCCCCTCTCAGCTCGCAGGCTCCCATGCCAGTTGGCTGCTTCGTTAAAACACTTAATCACTTGCCTTTCACAAGTGGAACCCTGGTTTGGGTCCAGCCCTCGAAAGCAGCCTGATTCATGTCTGCAAAGGGCCCGCTGGTAAAATTAAAGCCGATTGGCAGCACTGGGCAGCAGCAGACACTCGTCCACATCTCAGTAGCACTACGCCGCGTTATTTGGCAAGAGGCGCCAGCGTGTTTGGTTAAAAACAAGCTGGGGATGGATGGAAGGAAGGAGGAGGCTTAAAAGCTGGAGGCTCTGGATCATTTTTTCCCATGCCAGGCTAATAATTTCATTTTCAGAGGTCAAACGTTGGATATTTTCCCAACTCACTCGGAGTGAAAAGCCATTTGTGGCAGTAAATTGCTCCCGTGCCGTTCAGTCTCCTTATTTATTGCATCTTCGGCAACAGCACGCTCACAAAAGTCGTGTTGTTTTACTTCTCGTTTTCCAGAGAGGGCTCTTAAGCTGCGGAGTGTTTTCAAGGCTGCAGCACCAAATACCCAGATGAAGCCATCGCCTTGTTTTCCTTCCCGAGGACCACGCGATCCCTGGGCAGGAGAAGACAGCGGGACAGCCTGGCCCACGCCACCTTGGAGACACAACCAGAGCTTGCTGATTGCAAACCAGAGGCTCCACACTTGGAGGTGGCCCTATGGGGCCTGAAAGCAGGAGCAGAGGTGGGAAGGGGCAAACACCTCCCACTGCAAACACCTCCAAGACAAGGTACCACCTAACCAGTTTCTTCCCAAATACAAGAAGCCCCCAGTAGGAGACCTCGCTCTTTCAGGGTACCATTATGGGTTGTATGAACCAGAGAACCCAACTGAAAGCCATGGGAATGAATCCTTTGCCACCCAGCATGAAGTTCGTGGCTTTGTGCCCAGAGGGAGGGTGGGAGATGCTGTGGAGAGCAACTCCTCCATGCAGGAGCTGCTCTGCCTTGCCAATCCCAATGGGGACATCAAGGAGGAGGAAGGTTTCTCTCTGACTCCAAATCCAACAGCCATTTTTTGCCATAGCTCCAGTGTTTTATTGGGTGAGGACCCATCTAGTTACAACCAAATCATCGAATACCCCAAATCAGGGTCTGGGGCCAGTGGCCTGGCCCAGCTCAGGGCCATACCCAGGCATTTGGCAAAGCCCAAGTTGGCACCAGTCAACACCATGCTGGGGACTGCACCCTCCTCAGCAAGAGTCTGGACACCCCCAGTCAACACTTGAGGCTGTACCCAGGCCCTGGTTTGATTTGATTATCATCAACTGTCATTAATTATCATTAATTGCATCCTGGACAGCAAGGAGGGTATGTAATATGAGATGGAAAGTATGAGGGGGAGGGGGAGGGAAGAGAGGGCTGTTACAATGAAAAGGGTGATCCCTGGCCATGGCAGGGGCAAGAAGAAGCAATCAGCTTGGGGCAAAGCCTGGAAGATTTAGGGCAGGTATTGTGGGAAGCTTTCCAGCTACCAGGAGATGTAAACCCCAGAAGAAGCTATCACAGAGGCTCTGAGACACTGCATGAACCCCCTGAAGCAGCACCTTCACGAGATGGTCTAGAGACATCAGTGAATGGCATGGAGAGACCCCTCCTGCACCGCCTTTGGTGACGGCTGACACCTCTCTCACACCATAAGAATGACCTCTTTGGGACATGTTTCAACAGCTTCAGCCACCAACCACCACGCCATCCTACATCTTCACGACCTGCTCTAGATCCAACCAGAGGCCATGTTCTCCTGCCCCAATCCTGAGCATGGCAGCAGGAAAGATAGCAAACTATTAAACCCACAAGTGTGACAGCTACCAAGACACCGCATTCTGCTGCCAAATATTCCTTCAGCTCAGGCTCAGCCGTCCTCACTTCACCTCCCTCTGGACACAGGGTTTGATGCTCAACAAAAATCAAGCCACGTACACACACGGACATGCGAGACCCTGCTGTTACATCCCACATCAGGGTTTCCCAGACCTGGGCAGAGGGTCCTGAATGGTCGTCGTTGGTTTTTAAGCTGTTTTTACATCACTGCTCCACCAGCCCCAGGAACAACTCCCATCTTCACATCCGTTACCCAGCAAAGGTTTCTGTGTGGGATCACCACGGCTCAGTCCTGATTTACGTTGGAGCTCCTCTGTCCTACAGGACACTGAGGTGAATCCCTGCGGCAGATAAAGCCCTAATCCATGGCTAGAAAGGGGTTAATGCACCTGCAAGACCCCAAAGCATGAAAAATGAAGGTAACAACCTCTCCCAATTCACTCACTCACTGCAGAAGGCATCCGCCAGCCCCGTGCCTCAGTTTCCCTAGCAGGGATTTTTCACTCCAGGTACCAAATCGGTTCCAACAAGGATGATACCCCAAAACATCTCCCACGTCTCACCCTGCTTCTGTCCCATTTCATCCCCTGGCCTGGGGGGGTTCCTGCATCCCTACATGGTCCCCCCACAGCTCTCCCCCAAACAGGGCACGTCTGAGCCAGGCTCCGGGCCCTGACAGCTTTTTCAGAGGTCAAGCACCTGCCAGGCAGCTCCGCGCCGGGCGTGGGGGTGTCTGTTTATGCAAACCAGTTTGCGAGTTTTAAGAGAGTCCATAAATAAAGTGTAAAAGGCACTGTCTGGTACAGAAAGTCCGGGCGCTCCTCTGACAGCCCTGTATTTATGAAGGGCTTAAAAACGCAACTTAGCCATGAAGGGACCGGTTAAAACACACCGTGCCCTTGACGTGCGGCATCCTAACAACTCCGCTCACGTCCAGATCGCTTCCCACTGTGCTCAGCATTGCTCAGTCCTGGGCTGGG